TTATTATTATTATTATTATTATTATTATTATTATTATATATATATCTGTCAGTCATGGGTTTCTGCAAATACCAGGTGTTAATCCCGAGTTATTTGTTCAATCTATATGTATGTTTATATAATTACGGAGTTGATGATGTAAGTGATATCACAAAGCTAATAATAAATGATATGATGTGAGCTGTTTGTCCGGTCACTTCAGGGGCGTCGTCGGTGCTCCACGAAGTGGTCCGGCCCGAGCGAGTGTGGATGGCACGAGCTAATGTGTGCACGAAAGAGGAGGGACCGTGCGTAAACATTCCAATAACTTCCTTAGTGTATGTGCGCAAACAAAAGACGTTCGCGGTTACAGTAGTGCTTGTAATCTTGCTTGATTCTTTTTTTTTTTAGCGGAAACAGAGGTGAACTAGGTCAGTTACAAGATTGGATGGTTTTCACCCCATTGTCGATAACAAGACGAACCAAGCTGTGGGTACTGCCCTAGATTAGTTTATTGGCGGATGTGACGACAATATTTATATGCTTTGAATATGCGAATGCTTCTTGAATTTACTATATGACGTTCTCGACAATTTTAAAAGTACAAATGTGCCTCGAAATAATAAATAAAGATCTCGCAAAAAATGTTTTATGTTCCCTGAACTATATCCCCGCTTATCGTGTATATTTGGCGTCGGGCAACTGGGTATGCCCCTGCTACACAGCCGTATCACAAAGTTTTTTGTTTGTTTGTTTTTAATTTGTTGGAGACTTTTTTTCAAATTACATAACGTTATTATTGCCTAGCCGACAAGACACGTTATGGAACACATTGTACTATATTGCGATACTATACATTGCGTATGTCATTGAAATAAACAACAGTTTTCATTGCAATCACGGAACTAAATAAGGAGCTACATGATGAAAGTACGAAAACTGCTTTAAAAAGATTGCGAGGCCCCCATGAGCGTTGAACGCGATTCAATAAGTCCTTTCAAATCGGCTAATAGCGTAATGCATTATGTTAGCTTACGGAATCAACACCTTCGGTTGAAATGATAACAGCTGTGTACCAATTAATCATCTGGGCGGACCATGCAAATTACATTTCCCATGACGCACTGGTGCAATCCCTTGGATTGCGGAGCCGCGTTATAAATTGTATAAGGACTCGGATATTTGGTCAATTCATTCTTAAAATGAATTACCGCGTAAAACACTATCTGAGGACGGGTTCGTATTTCGTCGACCGTCGGAACTGGCGAATAAATCATGAAACGTGTATTTATTCAAATTTGTAGTGTGGGCGACGAAACACCACAGAATAAGGTAGAACGCTAAACCATGGACGTACCATGAAAGGTACTAACGGACTTCCATAGACGTACTAACACAGGATGGGCCACTGAGTTAAGATTAAAAAAGTACTCTAGAAAGTTTACTTTTGGTGTTATAATGTGTTAAAATCCTCTTCAAACCTTTGTCTTACCAATAAACATTCAGATAAAACATGATAAAAGTAATTGGATAAACCTTAACGTTATTAAAAGGGATGTGTACATAGAGTGAAAAATATTATATGTCGTACCATTTCACAATTTCACTGCGCATTTAGAAACAGCGACCGACACGCATGAGTACTTTCTGCCACGTGAAAGATGACCTTTCAAATACCGGAAATAAATCAGATAGACAGAAGTTTGTTGACGGATCAGACAAGCAACAGTACTAGTACTTTCTTGGTGTTTTTTGAAATTTTTGCTTTAATTTTTGATCGTATAATATTTTAACTTAACTCGTTTTGCGACAAACAAAATTTTTATTATTCCTGTTTTTTACCGTGGTCGACGTTTGTGATAACACAAGATTGCAGGGTAAAAACACGCCGTCAACTTGCTGCTTTTTTTTTTACCTAGCCCATATCATCAAAGATGGAAGGGAAAGGTATATTAAGGGGAAAATGTCTGTCGTCGTCAGTGTCGTCATTGTTGACAATTGTTATTGTGTGCACAATAACGTCACTAATTCTATTTCATTTTTTTTTTCAAATTTGGTCACCTTATTCATCAGTATAAAATCTTCCATAGTCAGATACACTGTGTGAATATATCATGCAAACATTGAGAAAATCTGATAAAATATGTTGACTGTTTCTACTTGACTGATCACTGGTGATACACATTCAAAGGTCACTGATCCCAGTGGTAATATGCATTGTTGTATGTGTTCAATGAAGCAAATCATTTATCTTGTAATAATATCATTGGTAATGTATCTTCTAAATACCATGAAAATACTAGACTGGGTTTCAAAACCAACTCATGGAGAGAGTTGTTGCACAGTTTGATACACATTTGCAAACCTACCAATAAAATCGTATCAGAAATATATATTTACAATATTTGTAGTGGAAATGTTTTGTTTAACGAGTAAATGAGTTTTTATTGTGTGTTTTTTGGAAACCGATGCTCAATGGCTTTTATACATATTATTTTATCGTTTTTCCCTCAAAAATAGGCTTGATAGGGAACAAAAAAGTTCACATACTTCTGACTAATACTAAAACGATTTATTGTAGACATATTTTGACACGGAATATTGTCATTGCTATATGCACTAACATATGCGCACATCTAAACAAACAAAAAAACTCACGAGTAGCATTCACATTAATGGACATCTTGTACATTTCACTTGTTCGGCCAATGAAACACATGGTTTTAAGGAATTATTATTGTCGTTCAGCTTTTATTCTCGGTCATTGCTCAATACTCGCAAAACGCATATAGCGACGACTGGGGAAACTTCGCTCGTCACTTGCAGGAGGTTTTGAAATCATGAATTTAACTACTACGCAAAAATAACACGGACTAAATTGAGAATATGCCGTTTGTCACACACGACTTTCACGATCGTGACTTCCAAACCATATATAGAGGCTATGTCATTTTATAACATTCAAATGTAAAAGCAAAACTTCGAATTTAACATGCAGATTTCTACGTACAATCCCTAAATTTCCACGAGCCACATTTGCCTAGTGCTTGGCTGCTACATCAACAATATATGACACCATCGATCTTTTTTCCCTATACCCCAGAAAATACCGGTGTCTTGAAAATTACTAGTACTTCCAGGGGAACAGATTTTTTCTAATATTGTGATTTTATTTATATAGTTCTACACAAGCTATATATATTGACGTTGTAGTTTGCAGTTTGCTAGGAACTTACTTGCACCAAGCAGTGTCAATTTACTTGTTACTCGAGACGAAGGTTAGTAATCGGAATAGTTTCGATGGAAATTAAATAAAAAAAAAAATTATTATATTTAGAAAAATGAAATACGTACATATGTATACATACTAGTCTGCTACCCGACCTCTAACCTGCATATCGTTTTGACAGCAGGTGTAAATTGTCTGCATGGAGGTAACTGAGACATCAGCGCACTAGTATGAGTCGGTAAATGGAGGTAACTGAGACAACAGCGCACTAGTATGAGTCGGTACGGTAAATGGAGGTAACTGAGACATCAGCGCACTAGTATGAGTCGGTAAATGGAGGTAACTGAGACATCAGCGCACTAGTATGAGTCGGTAAATGGAGGTAACTGAGACATCAGCGCACTAGTATGAGTCGGTAAATGGAGGTAACTGAGACATCAGCGCACTAGTATGAGTCGGTAAATGGAGGTAACTGAGACATCAGCGCACTAGTATGAGTCGGTAAATGGAGGTAACTGAGACATCAGCGCACTTGTATGAGTCGGTAAATGGAGGTAACTGAGACATCAGCGCACTAGTATGAGTCGGTAAATGGAGGTAACTGAGACATCAGCGCACTAGTATGAGTCGGTAAATGGAGGTAACTGAGACATCAGCGCACTAGTATGAGTCGGTAATTTTATATTACAACGTATGTTTTAAGTAAGGCATACAGGGATAGGACAATAACAATTTGTTTGGGGGTGACTTCTGGCGAGTCGTTGTTGTGTGTTTATTTGGCCGCGGCGATGGATGTGCTTCGCATCGTGTTCGATTGGTATAGTGTCCCATTTGCGAACTTGCCAAATGCAAGAAAGAAACGAAAAGAATGATACACGTTTTATGGTTGGCCGGACGTTGTCTTTTTTGTTGCTTTCGATCCCTTTCACGCGCGGATTTAGGGGAGTCACGCCAACTCAATTGGCAAACCCAGTCCACCTTCGACCACGTCAAATAGGAGTGCCCCCTCACCGAATTTCTGGTACCGCCAGTGCCTTTCGTTCACATTAGTTGTCTTGATTGACTAAACGAAAGCGACGAATGATTTGCAAGTTCACTATAGCGACGTATACAACGCGTATGAAGGAAATTCCTGGTGCGGCGTTATGCTGTAAAATGACTAATTTTCACTGGGTTTAAATTTCACTGATTTACCATTTCAGGCATATTTAGTGGGTTTTAAATTCACGGCTTCGTCATTTATATAATGTGTTCTATGCTAAATTTTACATATTCACTGTGTTTTAATTTAGCGCATTTCTCCAGTCAGCGTAATAAGCTAAATTAAAACCCAGTGAATAATTACCCCCTTTACAGTAATTTCCCATACACAGAATTTCCGGCGTTGCGTTATAACTTTCTTCACACGCAGAATAATTCCTAGACTGACAAAGTCGGGACTTTTTTTTTGTTTTACAAAAGAAAAGATAATTAATTTTCAATTTAACCTTGTTAACGTGATCGCAAAAACCAGTGTGATTGCGAAAGAAATCCCGACTTGACGCATCTGCAGGTGACCCCCTGCGTTGGAGTGAAAACCAGAGCGAAATCACTCCGGTGGTTATGTTAATTAAAAGTTGTTGACGAATCAAAGTGCAGCTGTATACGTCAGATCTGGACATTTAAATCGACATATTTTCAGTAAACACAGATGAAAGTATTGCCTTTGCATTTAGAAAGTTAAAGTATCCATCTCTGCGATCGAATCGACTCAACCTTTAAAAGGTCATGTTTACTTTCACAAACCACTCATGAATAATCAATGACATCATGAATAATTCATAGAAGTCAAGCGCCCGCAGATGCTTTAGCGGTCTGGTTTGTTTTCGCGATCACGTTGAAAGGACTAAAAGAACAATTAATTATTTCTTTTTGTAAAACAAAAAAGAAGTCCCGATTTGCCAGTCTAAATAATTCCCTCTGATGTGTTCTTCTTCCACAGAGGAATTTTCGATGATTCGTTAATAAGCATTGTAGTTTCCCCAAAAAGCGTTACTCTAGGCTTCACATTACTGAAACACGTTCGTAAAATGAAACCATCCAATTAAGATAAATGAAAACGGTGTCTCACCACAGGCAGCGCATTAAAATATGAAAAAATAAGCAAAAACTTTATAACTATGTATTATATACATTATATCCATTACATCACGGTTACTAAAAAAGAACCGTGACTACATATACTTATAGAAACTGTAGTGCCTATATAAGATTTTTGTTTTACTTTCCCTGCATTATTAGTGTTTATTTTCTCTCAGTAACTTATATTTCTTGTAATTTCTAGGATTATCGCATGATCACGAATACAATCTACAGTTCAAAGTGGAGCAGGAGACATTACCACGTGACATTCATCTAACTGCAGCTGAGATTATACTTAATCGTAAACGTAAATCAATAGGTTATCCGTATAGTGCGAGTATCGGGGCTGCTACAGAACAAACTATGCCAACGTACAATATCAAGGCAAAACAGTCAGGTCCCTATGACGTATTTGATGTAAGTAGTGATGTCATAGAATTGGACACACAACACACGGATGTACCTTTCAAATATAAACTGCATATTACAAACGGATCTGGGGACGCAACGCTCGATAAACTCTACCATTTCAAGGAAAATACTGACAGATCACCACTATTGGTTTTATATTTTGGAATTCGACCTGATGATGTTACTGGTAAACGGAAATCTGATTTTTCGTCTGTCATTGTAAAAAGATCACCACCATCAAAGTCTAAACTGCGCGAGGAGTGTAAGTTGTATCATTGGACAGTGTCTTTTCAGGACTTGGGCTGGAACTGGATCATTCGGCCCAAGACAGTCGCCGCCAATTACTGTGCTGGACGATGCCCATATATTCTCAAAGCTACAGCACGATATAATAACACAAATAATTCCTACGTGCGTAATATTCTTCGTTCTCGGTATAGGCAACGTCAATCTCCCAGGTCAATCCCACCAAGAGCATCATGTGTTCCCACAGTATTGAAACCGATTAGTATCCTCTTTCGCACTCCTGGTAATTCCATAGGGTTAGAAACAATGGAAGATATGCAGGCTTCAATGTGTGGGTGTATGTGACCAGCAACATGGTCTTTGATGGCACCGGCTTCAATGAATCTTTTTGTTTCAAAAGGCTTATTTATTGCTTTTGCTTGATCCATGACTCAACATGTGAGTATATGTGATCCGCAACAGGGTCATCAATTTGAAAGAACTGTTTAGCTTTAATTGCAAGATTTATCATTCCCATCATACACAATGTAAGATTTATCATTCCCATCATACACAATGTAAAAGAGCTGTCTCAGATTTGCGAGGTTCACATTCACATATTGTGTTATTATTTTATATTTGTCTTAGTTCCAGTAGTAATTATCTTTGAATACATTACTTTGATCGTGTATAATTATTACTACCTTATACTAAAATATGTTTGGATATTTAGAGTAGTAACAAATTCCCACTTCCGGTCCGGTTAGACCGCAAATACACCACGAATATTCACTTTTGAGGTATAATATTTGGTATGTGTTGGTTCTTTTTCCATATTTAATACACTTGTATTGCGCATGCGTCTTAGAACAATAGTACAACAACTTACATGTAGCACATACATTGTTTCATGGAAAAATTACATCTTAGAAAAGTAACTGTTCATACACTATGTCAGACATTAAAATGTGATTGATACAATTGTGGTCTTATTATTTTGTCACATCAGAATTATTACTTTGCCAATACTGCAAGGAATTGCCTCATTTTTAAGGTGCTGTTCAAGTTTCCCTTTTTTTAGCTCCGCTGTCGACTTTGTCGAGCGGAGCTTATCATATGAGTGATTGTCTGTCGTCGTCCGTCGTCCAGCGTCCGTCGTCCGTGTCAATGTTTTACTTATTCGACTTCTTCTTGAAAACTACAAGCCTGAATGCTTTGATACTTGGTGTATATGTACCTTGGGTAGACCTCTCTCAGATTTGTTCATTTCATGATCATATCTTCAATTCTCTAATTTTGATGAATATTCTTGTCATTTTTGGTAAAAAGTGTTATTTTCGACTTCTTGTTAAAAACCGCA